ATTTGAAATTGACTCTTCCTCATCAATAAGTTGCAATCTAGGTCTAGCTGCTGATTTTGAAGTTGAACAACCCCTTTCTATTGCCCTTGTTGATCTAGTTCTTTGACTACTTTCCTCAACTCCAGCAGCTCTAGCAACATCATCCCATGTCAAAGTATCATCCTCAAAGACAAGTTCCTCCTCCATCCTCCCAACCAACCACTCGTTACTTTCATCAATATCCGTCAAAGTAATGGGATCAATAGTGTCACGGGAATTGTATCGACGTCTCAATGCTCTATTATACTTAACAAATACCAAATCATTCAGACGTTTTTGAGCTAACCTATTTCTGTTTTTGGTGTGAATCTGCAAAAATTCAAACCAAATAAAAATATTCAAATTTTTATCTAGGTATTAATAAATTTATTGGTATTCATATTCACTATAGTTAAAATAGGTACTCACATGTTCAAACACACTCCAATTCCGCTCACATCCAGATGAGCTACAAGTTAGACTAAGAATTTTGATGGCGAATGTTTGCAAATTTGGCGTTTCAGAACCATATGCACTCCACCAATCAGCTGTTGATTATAACTAATTAATTAGAAAGAATATTTAAAATATAAAAAACTAACTCAAATTACTTAAGTATAAAATATAGATCACCTGGTGCCCTTGAAGTTTTTTGTCTAATGGCCAAAGCCATCCCAAAGAGACCATCAGCTTTCTTATAGGTAGTCAACTCTGCGCAAACTTTATCTTGTGTCTTATTGCTTGGGACCAACCTTTGCATGCATTTATACAGGCCTGACATGACTTCCTTATCTTTCTCAATATTCGGATTTGCGTAAAAATACTCTGGGTTTAAATAATACCCAGCTGCATGCAAAGGCCTATGCAATTGAACATTCCATCTATTGTCAATTATTTCAAAAAACTCCTTGTACTTCTCTTCATTTCCATTAAATGATTTTGCAATGGCTTCTTTAGCCCTATCCATTGCCTCATAAATATATCCCATGGGAGGCTTTCTCTCACCATCAACCAATCGCAGTACACGAACAAGAGGACTTGATATTTTGAGAGCATAAAGAACATTGTTCCAAAAAGAAGGCATTAATATGACTTGTGCGGTCTTTTTACCCTGTGGTTCCTTCGCCCATTTGCTTGTGGTCCATTCCTCTGAAGTGAACATCTTCTTCAAGTTGGTTTGTTGTTGATGAATCCTTGATAAAGTTAGAAAAGCAGTTGCAAATCGAGTTTTTGCTGGCTTGATCAAATCCTTGCATTGGGTAAATTGCCTCATCATATTCAACAAACCAGAGCAGTTCACAATATAACCATGCACCGCAATTGCCTTTTCAAATGTCTTGTTGAAGTTGGGAATTTTGAAAATGTCCTCCAACATCAAATCCAAGCAATGAGCTGCACATGGTGTCCAATACAAATGTGGCCGCTTTGCCTCCAAAAACTTCTCTATTACAAGTTTTTTTTAAAAAAAAAGAATAATATGAGAATTGTATATTCATATTGTAAGTAAGTACTAAGTAAATGTATACTACTAAGTTACTAACCGGCCAACACATTTGCTGAGGTACTATCTGTAACAACTTGAACCACGTTGGCTTCACCAATACGCTCCACAAAGTTGTCAAGCAATTCAAGCATCTTATTTGCATCCTTGGATAAGCTAGAAGCATCAACAGATTCAATAAACATTGATCCTCTTGGGCAATTAACCAAAAAATTAATTAATGCTCTGTTTCTTTTGCCCTTCCACCCATCGGCTATTAAAGAGCATCCATATGTTACCCAATCTTTTTTATGATCCTCCATGGTCTTATTAGTGTGGTCTACCTCTTTCTGCAAATAAGGAACCCGCACCTCATGGTAGCTTGGTGGTTTCATGCCAGGACCATATTGCCCAAAAGCTTCAACCATTGCCCCAAAACTGTTGTAGTTCACAACATTGAAAGGTATACCTGTATCATACATCCACCTCGAAAACCAAACAAGAGCCCGATCTCTCAACACCTTCTTGCTAGGATCATTATCATCAATTCTTGTTTGCTTTCCCTTGGCTTTACGATTTTGCACCGCAACTTCCGGATCAGGGGTGAAGTACACATCCATGGGTCCCTTTTGCTTTGGTTGTTTGGAACCAACAGATTTGGAGGAGTTACTTCCTTGTTCTCGACGGGTAGAACCTTGAGTAGAAACAGGCCTTTTACCATGTTGATTTATCTCAAGAATTTCATCATCATCATCGTCATCATTATCCATCTCATCAAAATCAGGAACCATCCTCAATTGCACCTTTGATTGACTTTTTTGAGACATAGAGTCTTTAATTTCATCTTTGACATGAGATGGACATTTTTTACAAGCAACAACATTTTTATAACCACCAGCAAGATGTTGCTTGACTCGGTAAACACCGCCATTCATTTCTTTGTCGCAAAAGTTACAAATGAACTTTGAAAGGTTTTGGGGATTTACCATCCGTGCATATTGCCATGCAGGATCTTTTTTACTGTCTTCGACATTAATTCTATCCAACAAGCAATTCAATGTTTCAGCATAAAGAAATTAAAGAACATATTTTAACAACATTAAAGAACATAAAGAAATTAAAATAGTTGAAATTAATTGAATTAAAATAATTAATTGAATAACCAAGAAATTAAAATAATCAGGAAATTGATTGAATTAAATTAGTTGAATTAAAATAAACAAATTAATTGAATTAAACAAATTAATTGAATTAAAATAATTAATTGAATAATCAGGAAATTAAAATAATCAAGAAATTAATTGAATTAAATTAATTGAATTAAAATAAACAAATTAATTAAACTAATTGAATTAAACAAATTAATTGAATTAAAATAATTAATTGAATAATTAGGAAATTAAAATAATCAGAAAATTAATTGAATTAATTGATCACATAATAAAAAAAATAATTGAATTAATTGAAAAAAAATTAATTTTAAAATAATTGAATTAATTTTAAAAATTAATTTTTGCAAATTAAAAATTAATTTTTGAGAATTAAAAATTAATTAAAAAAAAAAATTGATTCGAATAAGAAACAACATTAACCACAAAAAATTGAATTAATTAAATGAGGAACCAAGTCGAAGTCGAAGTCGACAGTGTTCGACACTGTTCTTCTTCAAGTTGAAGTCGAACAAAGAAGCACAGCAGGTGAGGTCAAACAAGAAGAACAGGGTGAAGTCGAACAGGTGAAGTCGAACAAAGAAAGGAAGAAAGGAACTCACCTCGATTCGATTTGATTCGATTTCGGCAGACGCAGACGATCGACGAACCAGATGAAGAAGAAAGGAAGAAGACCAGCAGAAGAGATTCAACTTCGGCAAGTCGATCTAGGTTTGGCTTCTTATTTCCTAATTAACGAAGTCGAATCAAGGGCCTAGATGATTCGAATCAAGGGCCCAGATGACTCCAACTTAAATTAGGCAAAATACGATGAAGCGTGGCTTCTTTCCGCCTCACGCTTCATCGCCTAAGCCGCGCTTCAGGAGCTTCTACATCGCCTCGCCATTTCGCCTCGCCTCATGACACATGAAGCGCCGAAGCCTCGCCTCGCCTCGCCTAGCGCTTAGGCGAGCGCTTAGGCTCGCCTTTGATAACACTGTGTCATGTTAAGAGTGTAGAAAACTATCTGGGTTGTCAATAACATTTGTTAGTTTGTGCTCATTATTTTGAGATCTAAGACAACTCGTTTAGTCTACCACAACACATGGAATTGCATTTTCAGATACAATCACGAGCATGTTTGGGGTGGAAGGAGTTTTGGGATAGGACTCGAATCAAAGTGGGGGTGGGAGATAGGACTCGCTTCTGGCAAGAACGGTGGTGTAGTGAGGTGTCTTTGGCGTGTATGTTCCCTCTGATTTATGTTATTGTTGCTGATGGGGAGGAGGTGGTGGGGGCTTCGGTTAGAGGTCGGCGGGGGCAGTCGTTTGTTTGGAATGTTCATCTTTGTAGGAATGTGCAGAATTGGGTGGTGGATCAATTGGTGGACCTTCTGGGGCTTCTGTATAATGAGAGATGGAGGGGATGGAGCGGATTCCTTGGTGTGGGATTGTCCAAGATCTAAAGGGTTTTCTCGGTGTCTTCTTTTTATGGTGGGCTTGTTGGTGAAAGTGCTGTTGTGTTTCCATGGAAGAGTGTCTGGGCGACGGGATCACCGTCTAACGTTGTTTTTTTTTTTTTTTTGGATAGTTGCTTTGTGACATATTTTGACAATTGACAATTTAATCAAACGGAGGCATGTTCTGGTTAACTAGTGTTACATGTGCTGTAGGGATGCAGAAATGGTGGATCATTTGCTTCTTCATTGTCCGGTTGCGTCTCGACTTTGGAATTTCATTGTTGCATTGTTTGGCTTGGTGTGAGTGCAGCCAGGGTCTGTGCTAGGTGTGTTATAGAGTTGGGGTGGGGCTAGGGTGGGGAAGAGACGGCAGAAGGCTTGGGTTCTTGCTTCCCATTGTTTGCTTTGGTTAGTGTGGTTGGAGTGGAATAGGTGTGTTTTTCAGGATAAGTGCCATTCCATCTCATGGTTAGAGAGTAGGTTGTTGACGGTGTTGCATAGTTGGGTTACGGGTGCGGTTGATCCAAATGTTTTGGTTTTTGTAGATTTTGTGGAGAATTTGATTAGTTAGGTTTGTTTGGACCCCTTGTGGGTTGTATTTTTGTATTCGTTGCATCGTCTTGATGCCTTTCTAATGAAGTTTGATTATTTATCAAAAAAACAAAAAATAAAATAATGCTGGTAATCTCTTACTTACAACTGGAACATGGTAGTTGTCTGACATATAATTTTTTCCCCCAGGTTTGCCACTGTTGTCTTTCTCAAAATCAACAGAGAGAGCATTGTGTGTGGTAGTTAATAATAAACTACAGGAAGTAAATTACGACTGAAATCCTTTTTTGCTACTCGTTGGAAATTAATGGTGATAGTATCAATTTGTAATTTCATTATTGTTGGTGCTTGTTCTAGTATTGGTTTTGGTTTTGTAATTATTTAGGTATGGCATTGTGCGTCCGTATGGAATACTTTATCAAAGTTGCTGTTCTATCAAAAGAGCTCCATTTAAAGTTGTGATCATGACTGATATGACTTGTCTTACTCTCTGTGCTATGTCAGGTTGCATCGGAATTTGATTTCAAAGGCGTAATTTACTTTATAAAGTCATGGAGAAAGTGTGCCTTTGGGCAGATTGCTTCCAGTTTCGGGTTTTCTCATTCCAACAAGTGCTTGATTGGCGGTGTTTTGTTCTTGGAGATTCCCTTCTTGTTTCTTTTCTCAACTGCACTTAGTGGACAGTTTCTTTTGAATGAAAAATACAGCAGGCGTAATGCAATTTTTTTCTGAGATTGGTGTTGGATCTTTAGTGCATGTCTATGAGTAAGCTACATATTCACTTCTTCTAAACCAGGCATTATATGCTAGCATTTTCTGACAAATTTTCTACTTGTAGTGCATTGTTGATACAACATCAAGTTGTGATCCTTGGCAAAACCATCTTCTGGGGTGCGGATTTACTTGCATATTTCAATTAATTTGTTTATCTTTAATTTCTGTCAGATGTCACTAACCTTACCTTTTGTCTCTGTTATATTTTTTCTTTGATCACAGGGTTGAAGTCTACAAACAAACCGATGATACTTTCTACTTAGTTTATAGTAGAAACTTGTTGCACTGAATCCGCACAGAGTTGTAGTTCTTAGCTTTTATTTTCATCTTCTCTACTGATGGCTACTGGTTAGAGTGATGACATAATCCGTAACTGAAGATTTTGCAAGATCTTTTACATAGCAAAGCTGAGCTAGCTGTTATCACGTTTGTGATTGTGTCAGTTGACTGTCCTGAGCAAAGAATCCTATCAATTTGCTAAATCATACTCTGGCTTGATCAGTTCTTGGGTTGTTATCAAGATGGTTTTCAGTGCTCGACTTTTCCATCTATATATGCCTTACCGTTGTCTCGGAGCCTTCGTTCTGATGTATTTTATGAATAAGGCTGTGAAGGCCATCCAGCAGATATGTACTGGTTCTTTGCTCATACATCATGCCACAGAAATTTGATGGTGGATTCAGATAGATCAGCCAGGCGGTTAATTTCCATTTCTTAGTTTTTTTTAAGCCATATAACAAAGTAAAAATCATAGATTTTTCTATGTGCCATTCTTTTCTTGAATAAATAAAGCATCACGGGCTGCTGAATCAAAAGAATGGAGAGGTGCGTTGATTTATGCAATCTTATGTAGTGATATTTCTATTATAATTTAGTTGATTCATTAGGACAGTTCTCGGTTGTACAGGTACAAGATAATCAAAGAAGTTGGTGATGGAACGTTTGGGAGTGTTTGGCGAGCATTAAATAAGCAGACTGGTGAAGTTGTAAGTTCATTTATGTTTCATGTTGACCTTGTATATGAATCAAGAATTTCTTCATTCTGCTGTTTCAATTTAATCGTTTATTTTAACAGGTTGCGATTAAGAAAATGAAGAGAAAATATTATTCTTGGGAGGAATGCATAAATTTGAGAGAAGTTAAGGTAACATAATATACTGTTTCATTGTGTTGGTTTTGGTTTTAATCTCTATATAGCTATATTGATGCTAGATTTTGTTCGTTTTCTTGGCAGTCATTGCGAAAAATGAACCATCCTAATATTGTGAAGCTGAAGGAAGTCATTAGGGAAAATGACATTTTGTATTTTGTGTTTGAATATATGGTATGTGGCTTCTCTTATTCAGGCCATATCCTCATCATTTGATCACACATTATCAATTGTGAAATGCCATTTTTTATGTTTCAGGAATGTAACCTATATCAACTAATGAAAGACAGGGGAAACCTTTTCTCAGAAGCTGAAGTCAGAAATTGGTGCTTCCAAGTGTTTCAGGGACTAGCATACATGCACCAGCGAGGATATTTTCATCGTGACCTTAAGCCAGGTAAATGTTGCTCTTGCTTGTGTCTGATGTGAAAATGGTGCATCTGGTTTTTGTGTCAGGATTTTAGCTGAAGGAAGTCATTAGGGAAAATGACATTTTGTATTTTGTGTTTGAATATATGGTATGTGGCTTCTCTTATTCAGGCCATATCCTCATCATTTGATTACACATTATCAATTGTGAAATGCCATTTTTTATGTTTCAGGAATGTAACCTATATCAACTAATGAAAGACAGGGGAAACCTTTTCTCAGAAACTGAAGTCAGAAATTGGTGCTTCCAAGTGTTTCAGGGACTAGCATACATGCACCAGCGAGGATATTTTCATCGTGACCTTAAGCCAGGTAAATGTTGCTCTTGCTTGTGTCTGATGTGAAAATGGTGCATCTGGTTTTTGTGTCAGGATTTTAATGTCTTGTTGATCTGACTACTGAATAGTAAATTTGTTTGAGATTTAACATCGGAATGTCTCAGTGTCAGTTGATAGGTTAAAAATAGAAAGGTTAAACAAATTTCACATGTGCACCGCACCATGCAGAGAACGTGCTGGTTTCAAAAGATGTAATAAAAATTGCTGATTTTGGTCTTGCTCGCGAGATTAGTTCTCAACCACCATATACAGAATATGTCTCAACACGCTGGTATGTGGTAGTTTACCCCCTCCCCCCTCACCCCACCCTCTCTCATTTTGATATTCAAATTAGTGAACACATATTTTTGCTCTTCTTGTGTATTTGAAGATAAATTATGGACTTGGCAGGTATCGTGCCCCGGAAGTTCTGCTTCAGTCTCCAATGTATAATTCTGCAGTTGGTGAGTAAATGATGGAGAAAGCATTTTTAAAAACTTGTTTAATGATCATGACTAATCCCCCCTCCCTCCTTCCTACCATCAGATATGTGGGCAATGGGTGCAATCATGGCTGAACTGTTTACTCTCCGTCCCCTTTTCCCAGGCTCAAGGTGTATATCTCATCTTTTTGAATCCTTTGCATTCATTGTTACAAGCAGTGAGGAGGAGATATTATATAATGCTTTAGGTTTAAGTTCTGCTTTAGTTGTCAGATTGGGATTTGAATCGTGAATCAAAATGGTCTTGTACTGAATTGCAAATCGAATCGAATCAAATCATGAATCGTGAAGATTCAGTGATTTTTTTTAAACTGCATAGAAAATATGTCCAACTTTTTAGCTCTCTCCCTCTTCTGTGGTGGCGGCCTAATTGCCCTGTTTTAACACATGTTGCAGTGAAGCAGATGAGATCTACAAAATATGCAGCATAATAGGCACTCCAAATGAGATTGAGTGGACCAAAGGCCTTAAACTTGCAAGTGCTATTAACTACCAGTTCCCACAGGTCAGTTGATCTTGGTTTATCTTTTACTCTGTTGTGCAAATTCATTTGTGTATTCTGAGATATGTTACCTAGAACATGGATCATTCTAGTACGAGGAACGCGAATGTGGTATGCCACATGCTCTAAAATGTGGGACGATAGAGATAGACTTCTTAATTTGACATCCAACATATTATAGTGTATTTTTCTTCAAATTAGTTGTTCAACAACACAATTCTATGAGCATTATTATGACCCATTGTTTTACATTTTGTCAACCCAAAACATCACTCCATCTAGATTTTAGTTCATTGTATTTGACTTTTTTCCTATTAAGGAAAACTTTTAAAGTTTTAATGAACATAGAAACAGTTATGAGATCACTTTGAATTTCTAAATTCACCGTTTTGGAACGAAAGTATACCATGTTTTGGAAAGTGCGTTCCAAAATGTAAATTGCCAGGAGGTGAGCTTTTTATTACTATGTTTTTCTGTATGATGATTCAATCATATAGATTCTTATTTTTTCAAAAAATAATAACATTGGATATCAACAGCTAGGAAGCACGGGTGCGGGTACGAGTACGAGTATGGGTACGAGTGCGGGTACGCCGATACGGCAAAACCCCAAAAAAGTATGATACGGGTACAGCTGCGGTACGCCGATTTTTTTTTATATATAATTATGGTTAAAGGATCCAACCTACAAATTAAAATTAAACATCAAAACTAAAAAGAGAACTATAAAACTAAAAGACAAATATTAATATATTTCAATTCAACATAACCAACACCAAAGGAAAAACAATGCAAATTTAGTCCATAATCCAAGCAAAGGAAAAACAACCAAGACCAAAGGAAAAACAAGGCCAATTCAGTCCATAATGCAAGCAAAGGAAAAAACAAAAGAAAGCCCTATGTATCTAAACTTGACACTTCAAAGTTCACTTCCATCAACTTCATCATTGAATAAAATAGCTTCCATCTCTGGCTCATCAAGTGAAAGATTTGTAATTTCAAGGAAACCAGAACCCTCCAATGAATCAAATGCATCTCCCCCAATGTCCCATGACTTGGTCTCTCCTTCTGTGTATGGTTGACTCCTTCTTGATAAGAGGCGAATATTGGAGTGCACAAAAACCAAATCCTCGCACCATTGTGGTGTCATTTTATTCCTCCTCATAGAGTAAATGAAAGAGTAGGTGCTCCAATTCCTTTTACAACATGATGAGGAACATGGTTGGCCAAGTAATTTCACTGCCAAGGATTGGAGCATAGGTGTAGAAGAGCCATGTGCCAACCACCAAACCACTGGTTCCATTACTCCTCTATCGTATATTGAGTCAGAGTCACTAAAACTTTCTAAACAACCTGAAAACTTAGCATACTCTGTATTAGCAACCCTTCTCTCATCTGAATCAGCAAAGTATCTCTTAAAACACTTGATTCTCATCTCAGAAATTTCATCATCTTTGTGAGGAGGAACACGAATGGGATTTTCATGAAGCCACATCCCACTATAATACCTAGATTTCATAATTAGAAAAAAATAAAAAGTAAATTATGCAATGAAAAAAAATTAAAGTATAAACTACGAGTCTAATGTGAATTATACCTTGGATTCAAAGAATGAGCAAGACAATGAAGAGGTGTGCTACTTTTTGTCCACCTTTCCACTAATATTTGATGCACTACAGAGTAAAAGGACGACTCTTCATTTTCTGACTTCCCTTCACGCCTATAGATGGATGCCTTCACCCGTTCAATCATTGAATCCCATATCTCATAAACCAAATGTAGACATGGCTTATTGGTGTCACAAATCTAAGCATCTCATAAATAGGTAATGTGAATGAGAGTATATATTCAATCTTATCCCACCAAACATCATTCAACAACTTTTCCTTTACAACAGCTGCTTTCCCAACATCATATTCCTTGTAAGAAGCCCATTTCTCACTTATCACCATTGTTTGGAGACCATGATATATAAGTTTAAACCTTTTTAGCATAACAATTGCAGATTATAAAGCATGTATCTACAACAGAAAGTAACTTCAAAGGTACAAACTCATTAAAAATAGCTAATCTCATAGAATGATTCATGATGAAATTTTTCACAAACATTACATCATCAATCACAGTAGTGATCCAATGGCATTCATCATAAGCATATGCAGCAACTCCAATTTCCTTCGCAGCACAAATGTTCTTAAGAGCAAGATTAAAAGTGCACTACACAAGGTGTCCAAAAGATCTTTGGATAATTACCTTGAATAATTGATCCAGCTGCACTACAAACAGGAGCATTGTTAGTAATTACTTGAATTACATTATTAGGGCCCACTTCATCAATCACTTCACTAATTAATTTGGCAATATGATACTTGACCTTGGTCTCACCCATATAATTAACAGCTTTTATAAACATAGTTCCACCATTAGATGTTGCCATAAAATTAATAAAGAGGCCTCCTTTGTTAGGGATGTTAATTTAAACTTGGCCCGATGGGGACCCGATCCCCCGACCCCGATTGGAATGATTTTTTCTCGAAAATTATCCCCATAGGGCCGGGGATGGTATTGAAAATTAAATCCCCGATGATTTTCGGGCCGGGGACAGGGATAGGTTCCCCAACCCCGCCCCCGCCCCCGCCCCGACTAATCCCCGACTAATCCCCGTATAGTTATTATAATATATATTATATTATATGTTTAGGCCCTCTCTCTCACTCACATCACACACTTCTCTTAGCCTCTCTCCCTCTCTCTCTCTACTATATAGATCTTGTGATGAAGATCAGTGGCAGATCTGCTGTGTAGATCTTGTGATGAAGATCAGTGGCAGATAAGGTGTCTACAGAATCATTGCCGAATAAGGTGTCTACAGGTGACGACGACGTTCCCTCTGACGACGACGACGATGTCGTTCCACCGAATCAAACCCTCCTCCTTCTCCGACGACGAGCGCCAACTCCTTTTCCTCCTCCTCCTCCGACGATGAGGGCCACCTCCTTCTCCTCCGAGACCTCCGACGACGACGACGTTCCCTTTGCCACGCCAGATCTGAGCAGATGGATCTCTCTCTCTCTCTCTCTCTACTTAGATCTATCTCTCTCTACTCAGATTTGTATGTTGTTGATGTTGTTTGATGATATTGTTGTTGATGATGCTGATGTTGAGGATGTTGTTATTATTACTGTTTGTTTGTTTGGTTTTTTTTTTTTTGGATCTGGGGAATTTCGGGGTTGGGGAAACCCGATCCCTGTTAGGGGACGGGGACAGGGATGGTAACAGGTTCCCTGTCGGGAATCGGGGCCAAGGACGGGGACATTTTTACCATCAGGGATCGGATACGGGGAGGGTGATCCCCGGCTCCGCCCCGCCTCGTTGCCATGCCTATCCTTTGTGCATCAGTCTATCCATCAAATACTATACTCAACCCCTTCTCATCCTATGACTTTTTAGTTGGTTCCAATAACCTTTCAATATTTTCCCTTTCTTTTTGAAGTAAGGTAGTCCTCAACAAATTATATCCAGGAGAGACATACCCAACAATTTGATTCTCAGCAGCATATTGAAAAGCATCCACAAAGTATGGATTCCTAGCCAAATAGAAAGGCAAACCAGCTGAATAGAACATATGAGCAATTAAAGAATGTAAATGTTCTCTGGCATTTTGATTGAATGCATTATCTAAAGAACTACTCCCAATTGCCTTTCTCTTTCTTAGTGCATAACCTTCCATTCTAAATGTTCCAACATCTCCTACACCGCCGTGGCTAGTACTAATTTGAGAAGATGGAGGTGGTAAAGGAACATTTTTTGGCTTTGCCATCTTTTTCTGATTCTCAACTTCTTGATCTACCTTTCAAATTTCAGAAAGAAGATCACTCTTGTTCTTCACAATTGCACACACTCTAATTCCATGGCCAGTAAGTAGCAACAAATGGGCTCTAACTTTAGAATATGACCCTTGGTACTCAATGTTACAAAAATTACACTTAAATTTTGTATTACCACTTCCTCATTCTCCCATTTTGACTAATTTTGTAACATAGCCCCAAATAGGAGCATTTTCATCTCCAGATTGATCAATGGAAGGAGCAGAAACACTTGCAGCAGATGAACCTAAACTGCTTGATGAACTCATTTTCCTATAAGCATAAAAAATAAGATTTGTGATTATTAACATTCTGTTGAGGAATAACTTTGTTCTAATTAAATTTTTTTATTATTAACATTTTGTAAGTATGATTGATTATTAATTTTTTTGTTCTAATTTATTATTTTTTTTGTTCTATTTTTTTTTTTTTTTGGTTCTAAGTATGATTGAATAACTTGGTTCTACCTCTCTAATTTTTTTTTGGTTCTACCTCTCTGACCAGGTTCTACCTCTCTGAAGAAAAAAGAAGAAACAAGAAAAAAAACAAAAATAAATAAATATGAAGACAAAGAGATGAAGAAACAAGGAGATGAAGAAAAAAATTCTGACCAGCTGCTTACTGTTTGCTGATATGAAGTGGTACCCAAAAATTCTGACCAGTTTCTCACTGGAGGGAAGACGAAGAGATGCACGAAGGGACAAAACCAGTTGCTTGCTGATCTACAAAACAAAAAATATATGAGACGAAGAAGAAGAAACAAAGAAACGAAGAAGATGAGAGTGGAAGATGTAGACGAAGAAGACGAGAGTGGAAGATGTAGACGAAGAAGAAGAAGGCGAAGAAGAAGAAGAAAAAAATGAAGATGAAGAGCACTCACGGGAACTCTCCTTGCGTCGCCGTCGCTGGAGGCCTTCAAAGGGAATGGATGGGTCGTCTCTTTGTTGCTAGGTCGCCTCTTTGCTGCTGTGTTGTTGAAGTAAAGAGATTAGGGCAAAACCTAGGTCATTCATGTATATTCCTTCTTCTTCTTTTTTTCTGAAATTTTTCTTAATATTGCTCCGGTACCCCTCAATTCTCCTGGAATTTTGATTTCTACCTCGGCATACCCGAAACGTACCAAAGGCGTGCCCATGT